ATGACAAAATACACACCAAACCAGGGGGACATTTTGTTATGTGCATTCGGTTTTGCACGTTATGAAATCATACGTACCAAACAAGGAATACATTTTCATAGGGTCATTTGGTTGTGTACGTTATGACCTCATACACACTAAACAGGGGCCACATTTTGTTTCGGGCATTTTCGGTCGTACACGTTATGAGATTAGACACACCAAACAGGGGTGCATTTTGTTATGGGCATCCGTTGTGCACATTCTGAAATCATACGCACCAAGCCGGCGGGTGCGTTTTGCTGAGGACATTCGGTTGTGTACGTCGCGACAACATACACGCCAACACACAAGGGGTACATTTTGTTGCCGGGATTCGGTTTTGTGCGATATGACCTCAAAACACCAAACAAAGGGCACATGTGTGCTACAGGCATTCGGTTGTGTACGTTATAGCATCATACACACCAAGATGGGGTAAATTTTGTTACGGGCATTCAGTTGTGTACGTTATGACATCATACACACCAAGCAGGGGGTACATTTGGTGACGGACCTTCGGGTGTGTATGTTATGACATCATACACACCAAACAAGAGGTTACATTTTGTTACGACCCTTTGGTTGTGAAGGCTATGACATGTTACACACCAAACAGGGGGCACATTTTGTTACTGAAACTCTGCTGCAGTCGCAAAAAAAGCTCACAAGAACGGGCAATAAAGCATTATCTTTCAGCTCAGGCCAGTCGAAATGCTGAGACGCTGGCCCGCCATCAATGCGTTGCCGTAGCCCCAATCACTGTATGTGATGGCATTGTCGGCCACGGCGACGCCATCAGGCGGCAGTACGGCTTCCATTAGCTGGACGTCGTTGACCCCGTAGCAAGGATAGCGCCACGCCTAACGTCAACAGCGCACACGCAAACGCCAAAGTGTCTCCACGCATTTGCGATCTGGACGCCAAAAGCTGCCTAAGAATCAGCAGAAAGATTGCACAATTTTGACGAGCAACCACGAACCACCCTTTCAAGGCTACGCCGCCCTGCATGACGTACACCTGATGGGCGAGAAGACGACTGGAGGTCTCGCAAATGGCGACGAGCGTGGCCGCTCTGCCTGGCCTCCCAGCTGCAGCTGGCAATCTTAAAATGAACTCGGTATCATGTTCTCTCATCGGTCACAAATAAGCCTCCGACATTCGAAGGTTGAACTTGCCCTCCCGAAGCTTCCTACAGTCGTCCCCGTGGCCAGGGCATACTTTGCGCCCGTCCGCCAGCTGGCCGCCCCCAGTTCCAGAGCCCCTTGCCGGAATGGCTGGAGGTCGGTTTCCGCCTGTGGTCAGTCTGCACGGTAAACATGCAATTCCCTCAGCACAGCCAGACATGCCATCTGTGTAAGTGCTACGGTATTTGATCTGCAAGCTGATCCAGAAGAAGAAGGAAGCAGGTGACCGAAAACTGACAACGAAAGTGGAGCAACCGCCCCAGCAACTCTTCCGGCGCGGGCGACTTGCCCCAGTCCTGAGAACGTCGCGGCTTCCGTGCATTCCAAATCGATCATTTCAATTTACACGACCACCTTTGTAGCTCATGAACTGCGTGTGTCGGTCATGTTCCGAGACAATGTCGTGGGACGTTGGTGAACTTGTTTGTGCATGAACCCATGACATGTCGAACCCTTGCATGCGGTTATGTCGTTCCATGCAAGGTTTGGTGCTCTGGGAGGGCCGAAATCGTGAATGTGTGCGACCCACCCACCAACCCACTCGGAGGGGGATATGCTGCTCGTATCAGTAGAGGCTCGAAAGTTACGCGCAACATGAGTGCTTTCAATCATACGAGGATGGTCGAGGGAATGTTGAGAATCGAACTCGTGCGCTCCCCCATACACGACGAAAGGGAGTGTCCGCGAGTGGTCGTGCACAGTTCCATCTACCATCAAGATTTCGGATATAGCGGGAGCCATCTGAATCGTCATCAAGCTTTCGCAATGCTGCGCACAAGAGACCCGGGCTGGTGCGCGCTTCTGCGTGATCGACGCCCGCACGTGGTCCGCCCCACGGGGCATGATCCACACCTCTCCGGTCCGGCCTCAACGGGCCGAAAATGAGACCAGAGAGGATTGAATAGCGTCAATCGACAGGCTTTGGTCAGAAGGAAAACAGGCATCCTCGGTGTGGAATACTGTCGATCCGCGTAAGTGATCGTGGCCCCAACCCCAAGATGAGCCAGATCTACCTCATAAAGCGACGCCAGCTGCGTTCCGTCCACTTTGAAGTACAGACTGGAAGGGGAAACCGTCGTATCCGCCAACAGCGCATCAGCCCACCGGCCTGCAGATGAGGAGGGATGCAGTCCCACTGGTATCGCAACACCCGTCCGACCTTGGCATCCTGCTCCAAACGGTCGCGGAGTACAAGTACTCAAACCAAGTCAGGACCCTGGTCCCGGTGCTTGTCAGGCACTCAGGCCTAGATTCCAAGGCTTTGGGCCCCTTTCTCATCATCGCGAAGCAATCCTCGGTAGGCACCTCCAGCGAGTAACTGAAGACTTCCAATTCCAATGCTGATAAGGCCCCTTCAATCTCAGCCATCATTTTGGCCTGGTCCTCAGCTGAGGCCGCGAAGAAGTCATCGCTCGTGAATTCCGTTCCTTCACGACTGAACTTCCACTCAAGCCCAATGTTTGAGGAGAGGTCCTTAGCCACAAGGTGGGTGACCAGGGATGGTTCAGTGTTTGTCACATCCCCACCAACCTTCACTCGGCGGAATGTAAACGCCAGATTTTGCTGATTCCAGCTCACACCAACTGTAGGCTCTGTGGTCTCAAACCCTGACCGATAGTAGCCCACGGGAGCCCCTGGTTGATCACCAGGCTCCGGTTCCAACACTGGCACATTCGGAGCCGCCCTGACGCGTGAAGCGGACCTCAGACTCAACGCAGGCTTGCCTGGCACTTCCGGGGATCTCGTCGTTTCTGCGGCGCGCCTTATCGCAGCCCTGGTAGTAGTCGGCGGCGGACACCCTGCACAGCTAGGTGTGGCCGCAAAGGCTTGCGGTAACATGAAACGACATATGGTGCAATCCACGGTTCTGGTTGACGCCACTGTTGTAGTCGGGACCGCATGGACACATGGACGGCACTGAGGCAGCATTGCCCAGATGGCCCTTGTCTCCTCATCTTTCCGGCCATGGGAAAGGACGTAACACTCGACCAAGCAACCTGCGGTACTCGTCGTAGTGGTAGAGCCCGTTGTGTTGAAAATTGTGATGGATGAGTGCACAGCCAGCCTGAAGAAATGCCTCAAAAGTCAGCAAGTCGCACTGTTGGCATGTCAGATTTCCACTCAGACGACGTGGAGTTCGGAATAAAACACACTGACGGGCGCGCCGGCTACACCATCCGTACTCGCAGCAACAAGACCCCCTATGTCCCCCCCTGTCCCCCCCTATCCCCCCCTATCCCCCCCTGTACCCCCCTATTCCCCCCCTATCCCCCCTTACCCCTATCCCCCCCGATCCCCCCCTATCTCCCCCAGCCTATTCCCCCCCTATCCCCCCCTACCCCCCCCTATCCCCCCCTCCCCCCAATGCATGAAGGCTCAACAGATTTGTGTCACGCCAAACTCGCAAACAGCACAGCCATTGGACATAGCAGTCATTCAGCAGCTGCAGATTCGGATGCCACTTGCACTCACGCTGTACTGTGCAAAACCATCGGCTGAACTGCCTTCGCAGACAAGACATTCGAAACCTCTCTGCCCTGAGCTGCAAGAGAGCTGCAGGACAAGCAACTAAAAGGCAAACGCAAACATATGCCAGCTCTTCCACACCTCGTCGGCCGCGCCGTCCTCGTTTGCGCTCTGGGCCTTTGCCAGCCTTGCCAGGACACTTCTTCAGTGCAACTTTGGCTGCTTTGAAAATGCAGAAGGATTTTGAACCCCCCCCCTCCCGGGCACCCCCCCACCAACCCCCTCGCCCAGGCACAAGTGCCTGATTGGACTTCGGCTTCGATCCATGGCGGAGATGGATTCTGGTGGATGCTTTCAAAGCTGGAACGCCGAACTCAAACTCATGAAGATTCCTTTATGAGGATGATCAGTTTAGGGTGCATGTCTTATTATTCGGTATGTGCGTAAACATATATGATATGTGTATGCATGTGTATGTATCATGCATGCCCTTACTGCTATGGCATGGAGAAGATGCTGGTTGGATTGCAGATGCATCATGACACGAATGCGCCGCCCGCAGCGGCTTTAAACCACATGCCACCTGGTGCAAGACTAAGCCGAATATGCCTCATCGCAGGCGAATCTTGACGTTGCATGGCAGCAGCGCTCAGCTCGATGTGATACTCTGCGCAGGTGCCAGAAATATCTCCGAAGCTCCACTTTGCCATTTTTCCCGCGCTCTTGCAGTGGCTCCTGTGCCCTCCGAGCTTCTGCTTGGTGCTGAACACAGCGCCGCACCTTTGACATGTGAAGCCAGGCCTCAGGGTGAGCGAAGATGCTAGCAAGTAGCGCTGGTCTCAGCCGCGATTTTCAGGAATCCATCCCCCACCCCCATCCATGCCCCCCCATCCATCCATCCCCCCCCATCCATCCATCCATCCCCCCCCCCATCCCCCCCATCCCCCCCCCCATTCCCCCCCCACTCATCCCCCACCCCCATTCCCCCCCCCCATCCCCCCCCCTCATCCCCCTATCCCCCCCTATCCCCCCCCTATCTCCCCCCTCCCCCCCTATCTCCCCCCCTATCCCCGACTCCTCCTGTCCCCCCCTATCCCCCCCTATCCCCCCCCTATCCCCCCCTCCCCCCCTCCTAAAATGCTCCCCTCCTAAAATGAAAAACTAGTTCAAAAAAAATCGGTCACGGTCGAAACTTTCGCCCAAAACTTTTTGGGACCCAAACCCTATACAAGTTCTATAAACCCTAAACCCTAAACCCTAAACCCTAAACCCTAAACCCCAAACCCTAAACCCTAGGATCTCCCAAGTTCTCAAGTGAGCCGGCGGATCGGTGCTAGGGCTGCACTTGTCGTCATAGAAGGCGTGCTTGATCTGATAGCCAGGGAGAATTATCTGGTCCTCCAGGGCTGCTATTTAGGGTTTAGGGTTTGGGGTTTAGGGTTTAGGCTGCAGGATTTAGGTTCAGAATGGCCCTGTAAACCCTAAATTAGAGCTTAGGGTTTTCGTATTCCGACATCATATTGGCTTAAAGGTTTAGCGTTTAGGGTTCAGGTTTTAGGGTTATAACCCCCGAAATCCCCTCCCCCCCCCCCGAAAGCACATCGTTTACTCTAAATCTAAACTCATCTTGCGGGAGTTTTTCTCAACAGCAACCCTGCAACGGGAGGCTTGGTGGCTCCCATCGTGACATGCATTTCGCGTCCTCTAACATGACACATCACGCTGAGCCTATGCCCCGTTCGCGTCCCGTGGTCCCCATCATGCTCCTGCCTCCGTGCAGTATGCTGTTTCGACCTTCCACCGCTCGGTGTCCCTAAACCCTAAACCCTAAACCCTAAACCCTAAACCCTGAACCCTAAACCCTAAACCCTCAACTCAAAACCCTAAACCCTAAACCCTAAACCCTAAACCCTAAACCCTAAACCCTAAACCCTAAACCCTAAACCCTAAACCCTAAACCCTAAACCCTACACCCTAAACCCTAAACCCTAAACCCTAAGGGTAACCTTAAACCCTAAACCCTAAACCCTATACCCTAAGCCTCTCGGGCTCTTGGACGGATTCGCTTCGAGAATCCATTCTACGGGGAGGTGCGAAGGACGCCTAGAAGGGATCCTTAAAATCTTATTCCACAATATAATCTCTTCCTTACAGCCCCAACATACCTCAGTAGACCCTACATTACGCTAAGGCCCCACGGCCTTGTTTGGATTGTTGTCGTGGTGGTCTTTGTGTGTTCTGCCCCGGCACACATTTATGTTATATGAAAACCTGATACCCTAAACCCTAAACCCTAAACCCAAAACCCAAAACCCAAAACCCTAAACCCTAAACCAAAATTGCGCCTCAAAACCCTGAACCCCTAGACTCCTCCAAGCCCTAAACCACCCCCCCTAGACTCACCCTAAACCCAAACTCTACTGGTTGCTTAAGAACCCCCCCGCAAGAATGAAAGATGGTAATCAACATTACCCGGTGTTCTTAAACCCTAAACCCTAACCCTAAACCCTAAACCCCAATAGTAGAAACAGGGATGTCAGGGTTTGTTGGTGCTTTGAGGGGGGGGGTCCTGGTTGATGATGTCCTCTGCCAGGCGCGCCGCGAGCCGGAATGTCTGCCCGCCATTCCAGCTGCCAGTCAAAGGCCTGAACGTTGGGGTTTAGGGTTTAGGCTGTAGGGTTTAGGGTTTAGGGTTCAGGGTTTAAGGTTTAGGGTTTAGCGTAATCCGTTTAGGGGTGTTTATTTCCCCTCCTACAAAGGACGTCAAGTCAAGGGGACCTGTTAAAAGAGCGGGGGTGGCTTTACCTGGTTCACCTCACCGTTGAAATTCGCGCTTTTCTGGGCTACCTTGTTCCCCTCCACACCTGAAGAGGGGGCACAATGAAGGGCCCTAACCAAGGCATAAAACTCACGAGCGCAGCCCTAAACCCTAAACCCTAAACCCTAAACCCTAAACCCTAAACCCTAAACCCTAAACCCTAAACCCTCAACCTAAAGTGCAGGGTGTAGCTTGACAAGCAGCTCAATGCGGCGTGGGTTCGGAAGTGGGAGAGGCCTTCTAGGCTGCCCAGCAACCAAGGCTTTGAAAGGGTGCCCTTCTTTGCTTAGGGGTTTAGGGTTTAGGGTTTAGGGTTTAGGGTTTAGGGTTTAGGGTTTAGGGTTTAGGGTTTAGGGTTTAGGGTTTAAAGGGGTTTAGAAGGGAACCTAAACCCCCCAAAAAAGGGAATAAGGGTACTGCTGGGCATCCTAGCCTTTAGGGTCTAGGCCGCATGTGTCCTCTTCAAGAGTGATGGGTCAGAAGCGGCGACAGAAGCTTTGACTCCCTCTAGGGTTTAGGGTTTAGGGTTTAGGGGTTAGGGTTTAGGGTTTAGGGTTTAGGGTTTAGGGTTTAGGGTTTAGGGTTTAGGGTTTAGGGTGGTATTAGTTACTATGAACTCTGGCACCAACAACCCAAGCTTAAGATTTGGCCGATGATCATACCTTAAGCTTCTAAGCCCTAAACTCTGTAAACCCTATACACCTTTTTGAACCCTCAACCCTATCAACCCAGTAAACCCAACAAACCCAATGAACCCTATAAACCCAATCAACCCAACAAACCCAATAGACCCTATAAACCCTAGTTATAAGCCCTACCAACCCTACAAAACCTACAAACCCGACAAACCCCAACCCCCCGTAAGACCCCCCAAGACCCATGCAGGCAAGGCTCAGTGGCGTCAGGATCTCAAGCGTAACCATGGTGGTCGTCCGCGTGGTCGTAGACAGATAGTTTGCCATGGACAGCGTCGTCTCCTCAGAAGAAGTTTAGGCCTCTACTACTGCGACTACTCCTCCTCCTCCTCCTCCTCCTCATCCATTTGCTGCTCCTGCTGCTAGTACTACTACTACTACTACTACTACTACTACTACTACTACTACTACTACTACTACTACTACTGCCACTACTACTACTGCTAGTACCACTACAACAACAACAACAACAACAACAACTACTACTACTACTACTACTACTACTACTACTACTACTACTACTACTACTACTACTACTACGACTACTACTACTACTACTACTACTACTACTACTACTACTACTACTACTACTACTACTACTACTACTACTACTACTACTACTACGACTACGACGACTACGACGACCACTACCACCACCACCACCACTCCCACCTAGGAGCTCTATAGGGCTTCAGGGCTTTTCGGGCTCCATAGCGCATCGCAGGTTCAGGGCTTTTGAAACTGTAGGTTTCGGGTGATCTCCACTTGGAGGTTCATGGTACTTATTAACCAATTATAATTGTACTTATAACCCACTTATAAGCCCCTTAAGTGCCCTAATATGGTTATAAGTACAGTTATAAGTACAGTTATAGTTGGTTAATAAGTACCATGAACCTCCAAGCAACCCCAGACCCCCCACGGCCAAGTCTTTACAGGCTCCTGCATTTTGGGGCTGCAGGGCTAGGTCCTCCGCGTAGTAATAAAAATTACAAAAAACATAATACTAGCAATGATACTCGAAATCGTACTAGTAATAAAACGGAGATAAAACTCGTAGGAACACGAGGATTAGTGTAATAGTCAGAATAGTACTCGTAGTAGTCATCACAATAGTCACAAAATCGTCACGATCATAGCAATAAAGATAATCGTAGTAATATGAGTAACGAGGGTAATAATTATAGTAGTAGTACTCGTAGTAGTAATAGTCATAATCATAGTCATCAATCATAGTAGTCAACATAATAGTCATCAGAATAATAGTCGTGATCATCGCAATAAAAAAACTCTTGGAAGTAATAATAGTGATAGTGGCAATACTTATAGTGATACTACTAGCCATAAAGATAGGCATAATAGTCATACGAATGGTCATTACAATTACAACAATACGTAGAAATGCTCATAATCAGAATGACGATTAAATCTGCAAAAACTAACAGCAATAATGGTAATAATACGAATAAAACGTTAGCAATGGGAATGAACAACGCCATATTTCTGGTGATAAGAATGGTAGTACAGGTTTTGGGGGGCTTGCAATCAAGGCTGCAATGGCCGCGTCCATGGCCTGGAGCATGCTTCGGACATCCTGCGGCTTAGGGTTTAGGGTGTAGGGTGTAGGGTTTAGGGTTTAGGGTTTAGGGCTCCGGGTTTACGTCCCGTTCTCTCATTGCTGATGGGACCCTAAACCTCAGGCGCCTCTCTTAAACCTCATAAGCCCCTCATCAACCTCAGCAACCTCCTCAACCCTCAACCCTGAACCCTCAGCCCTAAACCTTAACCCTAAACCCTAAAGGCAGCCGGAGAAGAGTTTAGGTCCTCAAAGGCGTAAGAGTTCTTCTCGTTGATGTAGTAAGTCATCTCAGGTTTCCTCGAGATCGTATGTAACCCAAGCGTCCCTGATACGATACTCCCCACCTCTCCCTAGGGCTCCCTGAGCTTCCCCAAGGTTTTTTAGGTACCCCCAACCCTAAACCCTAAAACCCCGCAAGAACCCTATAAATGGAGCCCTGTAAGGCGCCCTGAAGGCTCGAAGCCTCAAGCCCTGAAAGAACCCGAAAGAAGCCCTCAAAAAGCCAAAGCAGAACCTTGCAAAAACCCCAAACGCAGCCCTAGAATCCTAACAAAAGCCTACTGTATACAAGCCCTCAAAAAACGCGGAAAGCCCTAAGATAAGCAAACAAAAAACACCTAAAAACCCTTGTGAAGCCCTGGCACAAAACATCGCAACACACACCTGGGCCCATGGGCCCATGGGCGTTATGAGGGTGCGGGGCATCTATTTCCCCCCTTCCCGCAAAACAAGCAAAAGCAAAGCAACAGAAAACAAAAAACTAAACGCAAAACCTCATGACCCTCCAACCCTATATCCCTGAACCCGAGACCCGGAACCCAAAACAAAAAGAGCCTTAGACCCTATGCCCTCGACGCCATGCCCCAAGCCCTACACCCTAAAGACGCTGGGAGGTGTAGCTCCGCTATTACCCTTAAAGTTTAGGGTTTAGGGCCTAACCCTAAACCCTAAACCCTAAAAACCCTAAAACCTAAACCCTAATGACCCTAAACCTTGAGCCCGGAACCCTAAACCCTAAAAACCCTAAAACCTAAACCCTAATAACCCTAAACCTTGAGCCCAGAACCCCTAAACCCCTAAACCTTAAACCCGGAACCCCTAAACCCTAAACCCGAAACCCTAAACCCTAGGGCTTTGGCTCGGCTGCCCAGTAACCAAGGCTTAAAAAGGGTGCCCTTTTTTGCTTAAAGGGGCTTCTAAGGGAACCTAAACCCCCCAAAAAGGGAATAAGGGTACTCCTGGGCATCCTAGCCCTAAAGACCCTAAACCCTGAACCCCTAAACCCTAAACCCTAAACCCTAAACCCTAAACCCTAAACCCTAGGGCTTAGGGTTTCGGATCCAGGCGTCAGTGTTGCCCAGGCATCATCGACGGCAACGAGCAACTTCTCAGCTTCGAAGTCGATGGTCCTCAGTGGGGTTTAGGGTTTAGGGTTCAGCGTTTAAACCCTAAACCCTAAACCCTCAACTCAAAACCCAAAACCCAAAACCCAAAACCCAAAACCCTAAACCCTGAACCCTGAACCCTAAACCCTAAACCCTAAGCCCCAAACCCTAAACCTCGTACTTTCCCAGCGACTACGGACACATGCCCTGCTTCAGATGTCGTAGCTCACTCCCGGCAGGCATTCAGGGTCGTGAGGTTTCTGGACCCAACAAAACTCATACATTCTACACCCTTTGAAGAGTTTAGGCTTTAGGCTTTAGGCTTTAGGGTTTAGGGTTTAGGGTTTAGGGTTTAGGGTTTAGGGTTTACTGAACCCTGAACCCTGAACCCGATACCTCCCTCGCAGGGGTCTCCACCTGCAATCTTCAGCAGCTGCTGGAAGAATGGCGAATTCAAGGTCGGTTCCCTTGAGCTATCGGAGTCCCCTTTTCAGGGATAAGATTCGTATCCCATCGCGCATGCCCTTAGAGTACCTCTAGAGCAAGCCCCTAAACCCTAAACCCTAGACACTAAACCCTAAACCCTAAACTGCCCTAAGCCCTAAAGTGTCGAGCTTCAGCGTCTCAACTCAACACTCCCGACACTCGGCCTAGGTCTCAGCACCACCACAGTCGCTTCTCCCTAACCAAAACATGCCTAAACCCTATACCCTGCAACCTAAACCCTATATATATATACATATATATATATATATATATAGTTTTTTTCCCTAAATATAATAAAGCCCAAACATCCCCCCCAACTCCGCGGCCTAGGCCGTTTCCGGAATTTTCTGGAGGATCGCGTTTCGGGCTTAGGGCTTCGGGTTGAAGGTGGCTAGGCTCAGGCTTTCCAATCCGATCCGCCCTGTTCTTAAAGACAATATGGGGGTTTCCGAAAAGAGGGGTACCCTTTTGGGGGGTCCGATAATAAGGATTTTACTATTTTGGGGTATAAGGGTACCCCCCCCCCTCCCCCCCTGTTTTGGAAATACACATATCGCTCGGGAAGGTTTGTTCGCATAAATGATGACCCGCACAACGGGGGAGCCTTTTCCATACAAGGGGGAAGATACTCAACCCGAACCTGGCCAGAGGTGGAATATGATGTAGTCTTTAAGGCAGAAGGGTACACCCTCCCCCCCGCACCCTGAACCCTAACCCCACGCAGTCTCGTAAGATCTGATTGCATCCATACCGCCAGACAGGATGGCAAAAACCCAACACCCCGAAACCCCGGAAACCCAAACCCCTCTAAGACCAAGCCCCCAAACTCCGCCCCTCTAAACCCTAAACCCTAAACCCCAAACCCCAAACCCTAAACCCGACAAGAACTCTAAACCCTCCTTAACCCGGAGATCCTCAGTCAACCGCCAAGCTTCAAGCCAGGATACTGACGAGCTCCCATGACTCAAAGCCCTAAACCCTAAACCCTAAACCCTAAACCCTAAACCCTAAACCTCAAACCTCAAACCCTAAACCCTAAACCCTGCACCCGAGCCCGACACCCCAAACCTTGAGGGCTTTCGGGGCCCCTAGACCCTGCACCCCCTCACTTAACCCTGGCTCCCCCAGCAACCTTCGAAACAGCAAGGAAACTCCTCAATTCGTTACTAGGAGGAACCTGGCTCTGAAAAAGAGTCGCAACCCTGAACCCAGGCTTGCAACACCCTAAACCCCAAAGTTTAGGGTTTAGGGTTTAGGGTTTAGGGTTTAGGGTTTAGGGTTTAGGGTTTAGGGTTTAGGGTTTAGGGTTTAGGGTAAGCCCTAAACCCTAGCCCGCAACTCGAACTTTTAGGGGCCTCAATTCCTGGCTACAATTGGGGGTTCAGGGTTCAGGGTTTGAGGTTTGGGGTTGAGGAGCGACCTAGAGCTCATAGTGCTCATAACGTCTTCTAGGATTCCCAAGACCCTACTAAACCCCTAAACCCCTAAACCCCTAAACCCCTAAACCCCTAAACCCCTAAACCCCTAAACCCCTAAACCCCTAAACCCCTAAACCCCTAAACCCCTAAACCCCTAAACCCCTAAACCCCTAAACCCCTAAACACCTAAACCCCTAAACCGCAAACCCCAAACCCCAAACCCCTAAACCCCTAAACCCCCAAACCCTAAACCGCAAACCCCAAACCCTAAACCCCTAAACCCCAAACCCCAAACCCTAAACCCGAAACCTAGAAGCCCTACGCCAAGACTCTGAGGTACGTCGGTCATGGCTAAGCCTGCAATTGTGTTTAGGGTTTAGGGTTTAGGGTTTAGGGTTTAGGGTTTAGGGTTTAGGGTTTAGGGTTTAGGGTTAGTAAGGGTCGACGGGTTTCTGGTCGTTAGGGTTTAAGGTCTGAACGGCTGCAGGGTTCAGATGTTTTTGGGTGTAAGCTTCGGGACCTCAAACCCTAAACCCTAAACCCTAAACCCTAAACCCTAAACCCTAAACCCTAAACCCTAAACCCTAAACCCTAAACCCTAAACCCTAAACCCTAAACCCTAAACACTACACCCTAAACACTGACAGGGTTAGAGCTTCGGGGTTTGAAGGCTTGGAGGGCTTGAGAGTGTTTGGCAGGGACTAGGGATTAGGGCTCAGGGTTTAGGGGGTTGAGGCTTCCATTCCCTGGGTTTAGGGTGGCCACCAAACTCCCGAAATTGGAGCTAAACCCTAAACCCTAAACCCCAAACCCTAAACCCTAAACCCCAAACCCCAAACCCGAAACCCGAAACCCTAAACCCTAAACCCTTAACCCTAAACCCTAAACCCCAAGCCCGAACCCTGACTTGCTGGTTCATCCCACGGCTTCTTCAGTTCAGGGGTGACGGGAGGGACCCCACTAGAAGGGCCCTTAGTCTTATTCCCCTATATAACCACCCAGAATATATATATATATATACACACACACATATATATATATATATATATACATTTTTATCTATTTATTTATATGATACAT